ACTGGCCATTGCCCCTCATCCTCGCCCATGTGATCACACGACACGGTTAGGGAAACCTTGTGCTGATTTACCGCCGCATGTGCCGCACTGCATCCTCGTCCAGTGTTGAGCCGCGTACAGTGACTTTTCGCCGCGGACTTTTGCCGGGCGACTTTTTGCCGGGCATGGCCCGCTCAAGCAGGTAAAAACTCTGCGCCTCGTCAACCAGCAGGAAGTTCAGGCGGTCCCGTGGCAGGCGCCGCATGAAGTTCCGAATGGCACCTGCTGCGGTGACAGCCGAGTTGCCGCTGGGTGCAGGCGTGCTGGCGGCAGCAGAGAGCCGCTGGTCGGCGGCACTCTCCTTGAGTACAGCGAGGAATTCCTTAAGGAAGCCACTGACACCTCTGCTGCGATCACAGCCCAAGCAGTTCACGCGCAGGAAGTTGGGCTCTGAAAGCACCGTGCCAGCGTGCTGCCGGCCACTGCCGCCGCTGCTGTAGTAGGTGTTGGCCACAGCAGGCAGAACCTCCTTGAGCATGTAGGACTTGCCAGTCTGCACAACGGGCACAAGATGGGTGCAAGATGGTAAGCGTGCATTCCCCTTGGTCGCTCAGCTGTGCATTACTCAATAGTGCACAAAGCTGCATGCATCACCCATCTACCACGCCTAATCTTCTCACTCCAAACCCTGTTCCATGTGGGTTGGACACAAGCTGCACAAGGAGCTCTCCGTCCTTGGTCAGGCCGTTATATCCCACCTTGACCAGACCGTTGATGAACAGCGGCCGGATGGGTCTCCCCATACAGTACTCATCCTCGGCAAGGTCCAGCCACTTCTTCAGCTCAGCTATCTGCCTGCCCTCGGGGTCCAGGAAGAACATGCTGCTCACGCCAGCACTTGCGGCAGCTGCAGCGCTGACAGTGTCCATGGGCTCAAAGAAGAACAGGTCCTGGTTCTGCGAGTCTTGCCGGAGCTGCAGCTTGCAAGCTGGCAGGCCTGCACAAGGATAGCCCATCGTGCCCACAAGGTGCATACACATTAAACAACCAGCCGCTGTCACCCAGTTGCAATGCATGCAGGATCACAACGAAGGGGTGCAGAGCAGCAAAGTGACGAAGCAACTTCAAGCTGAATCAAGCCAGAAGTCACACCCCTCAGTAGCAAGAGGGTGTATGTCATGCAGAACACTGAACCGCCCCTTTATGGTAGAGAAAGAGTGTGCTGTCACACAGGGCTGCACAATCGCAGGCCCAACAGGCTGGAACGTGTAACTGCCGAGTGTTATCACTATGCATGTTGCCCGCCTGCCGAGGGACAAGCCCTTCATGGACATGTTGGCACTAGTGCTGTAAATGAGCGTTCTGGTGAAGTCCCCCCTCCCCCGCTCTCCATTCGTGGTGGCCTGCGGCCTGAGGGTTGGTTGCTGTCCAGGAATGTGAGACCTGACGAGGCTGAGAGTGGGAGCCTGGCTGGTGCTTCCTCTACTGTAGGGCCCAACTCCGCCTAAACCCTCCATCACAACACCTGTGGAAACGTTAGTATGATGCATGGGCGGGCCTAGCAGTTTGGGAAGGGGCGCATAAGCAGTGACGATGGGGGGTGATGATGGCTGATAATGGTAATGGCTGGTAATTGGCGTCCATGCACTCAAGCCCAGTGCTGCAATGAAACGGCACACCAAGCCCACAAAACCTGTTCCCCCCCTTCCCGCATCAGGCACAGTAGGCTCACCTGCGGCAGTGTTGCTGGTGCCAGCGTCAGCGCCTGTAAGCGGCAGGCCCACGGCAGGGTGAGCAGGGTGGTACAACATGAGCAGCATTAAGTTGTCAAACATAACGACGATGCAGCCGGTCGCCAGACAACATGCAGGGTGTTGTCTGGCGACCAACGTGCAGGGCGGGCCACTATCACAATGTTGCACACAGCTGCACGGCAGGGTGCAGGGTGCTGTACTTTTTACAGCCGGCGGTAAAGCGTCCACACGGCACACTCTCCTCGGTGAACTGATGTACTGGCAAGAGGTTACGGACTCGGGTGACAAAGCTTGGAAGCTTTTAGTCCTGAAGGCGACACACCCAGCCACATATACGCTGACGTTGAAACTTGAACGAAGCCCTGAAAACGAACTGTGACCCTTCGGCTGCGAAAATGCAAAAGTGGCTTCGTCCACTGCAAACAGGTCTACGAAAAATCACCCTTCACAGCAAGACCTCTCTTGGCTACGATACCGGCTGTAAGCAGAAATCCTCGCTTATGCAGAAAACGTCTCCGACACTAATGGACACAGTCCGCAGGCGATCAGTCGCAAGCCGAACTTCAGACGTACCAAAAGACAACCGGCCTCACGGCCAACCCCACTCAAGTGTGCACAGCAGCATTTGCTGATGCTTACTTTTGATGGCTGCCTTTAGGGCGGTAAGCTGCCGGAGATTAAGCTGTGAACGCAGATCATTAACGTCAAAAAGACAAAACGTGTCTCCCGCCTCAGCGTCCACATCAAAACCTTCAGCTTGTAGAGCTCGAAGTATGGGAGAAACCGTGGCTTCGGTCTCTCCGCGGACTGCAGCGAGTGCTTCGCGTATTGTCGGCATAGGAACACACTACACGACCGAGGATCCAATGACATGCCTCAGCGCGCTAACCAGGCTAGCCAGGAAAGTCACCCGGTCTGCTCTCGAGCTCAACCGCAACACTGAGAATACTGTTTCAGAGAGGAAAAGCTGTGACTTGCTGCCACGTTACACAAAACGGTAATTTAGACTGTTAAACATATGTGATAAACTTCTGTTGCTCTTGCAATGACAGGTGTACCGATTGCCGGAACTTCGGAGGTTTCGGAGCGGAAAGTGAGTCTCTGGTCTAAGCGTGCATCTCTACTGTCAATTTGTCAAGCAGCAGCTTGGATGTGGTCGCTGGTCTGAAGGAGGAGGGTCATACGTATGATGTTAACAGTAGCTGTGGTATAGAGCTACTAATTGGCGAAATGGAACTGGCGTCCTCGCCCCCCACAGAAAGCGGGGCTTGCCGAATGGAGACCATGTCTAAGTAGGTCTGGACCCTGAGTGCTGCTGACATTTGCTTCAATTGTGTAGGAGGCCACAAGGCCGCCAGAGCGTGCTCACAGTGAACCTGTACTGCGGCTGCGAAAAAAGTTTCCGATTTTTAGCCTTGTTGCGAAACCTCGCGAAGCCCCCGGTATAATCTCGAAAACCTCGAAATGCTGCAATTTGTTATGTCTATGGCGAATGTCATAAATGGACCTTAAACGCCTCAGGTCACACAGGAAGAGAATTGCATCCTTTGTGACCTATATGTCTTTTGCTTGCAAGGGTTGCAACTTGTATTCGTGGGAGGGGGCTACAAAGGTTTAGGGAAGTGTCACGATATTATGCTTGGGCGTGGTCTGGCTCCTGCATGGTATCCTGGTTGATTTTGCGAATTGCATCACATACAGCTTCACTGCTAAGCAGAAGCCACGATAAGTTTTACGTAGATGGTTTTACCCAGGACCGGTACTTGTTGCAATTGGTCCGCAGGAAACACTTTCCTAGTTTCTTTCTAGCAATTTCCCTGCCCTGCATTAGCTCACTTCGCGCACTTTCGTGTGGCTTCCAGAGATGCATTGCACCCTCCGGTTCCCGAAGCTCCTCCGCACCGATAATCGGGTTTCATCTGCTTCACCATCGAATCCATCTCGATGTCAGCTGGCGCCTCTGTCGTTTCTGGCAGGGCATCTTATGTGCTCCTTTCGAAGCATGTCAGCCCTGGATGTCTGATGGTTGTGGTTTTGGGGGCGGTTGCTGCGGCGGAGTGGAACAATGAACTAAACAGCGACGGGCGATGTGTTCTCAACGCGGTCAAGGGTGGTGGATCAGGGTTCGACACTGACCTTCCTGAAACTTGCGGGCTCCCCCGTACCTCCCGAATTTTCCTTACGGAGGGGCCCCCGTACCAGGCTCCTGTACCAGCCGAAAACCTTACAGGGCACCCTGTAACCCCCGCAAAACCTTTAGGGGGGCACTGTCCTTGGATAAAACGCTGTGGAAAGTGACGCTTTGCATTTTTTTGCCCTATAAATCGTTATTTTCTCGTGAACCATTACACTCGGGGACACGGCACACTCAGCGAAAGCCAAGCGCCTTGGCCGCCGCGGCCGCCCATC